TCACATATTCACATGCAGAAACAACTCATCAGAGAAAACAAATCAGTTTAATTACTACTTTCATGCAGGACCTTTATTATAACGGCGTATTTTTACATTAAAGTACTTCTGAGAGTACAAGTACTTCTTCCAGCACTGGTGCTGTCGGCTCATTGATTTACAGCGAGTTACACAGAAAAAGTCAGTCAGTCCAATGATGGAGGGTAAATCCCATGTGGATGTCTCAGACTCACGTCACCATAGAAACAGTTGCTAAGGAGCACTACAGCATTAGAGACTAACACAGTTATCAGGATCTGGACATGTAAACAGCTAAAAATGAGATGTGTAGCATGTTTCATTAACTGAATACATGTTTACGACACAATCCGATCACAGCAATGAAGCAGATTATTTTTCTCTCAATCAACGGATCAATTAAACGACTGATTTTCAGCTCAACTCAACTTCACTGCAACTGTGTTAGATTTTCAAAGCTCCTCTGTTGAGAGTTTGATTGTGATTAACATCCACATCATCTTATTTTCCTCAGGGACTCCACAATGTTGTCTGACTCCACATAATCTGACTTTATCAACATCAGAGAACCAGTAACACAGAGGGAGGTCAGTGTTGTTCACCATGATTTATTTACTCCCTCAGCTCAGTCTACAATCCAACACATGCAGGCAAAATAAATGATCTTGTTCTGCCTCCATCTTTTCCTGCAGCTTCTGTTACCGGGCAGAGTTCATCTGCAGGTAGAAACAGCTGAGTCACTGCAGCTCTTCACTGTGTCTTTTACTGAGAAAAACTTCACTGCAAGACGGAGCTGCACAGCTAAATCTGGTGCACATTTCTATTTCAAATATAACCGACTTTCTTCATCTGCATTGATTCCTGGTCTTTATTTTTCTTTTGCTTCAATCTCTTGTTTCACCCGTGCAGATTTACAAACCTATCACTACACATCAGTCCTAAATCAATCAGTTATCAGTGGCAGTGTTCTACAGAGTGAGTCAGCGTGCACGTATAAGTGCTATGACAGTCTCTGTGGTCCTTTGGGACTCAGCAGTGACTGTCGAGCAGAAATAGTTTTACTGAGAACAGGACAGAGCTGCACTGTGCTGCAGAGACACTGCAGCAGGAGTTCACTGCTTGAGTACAAATATAGAGATGTAGATTGGCAGTTTGGTTTTTTCTAGTTTCATGCATGTACATGTCTGCATGTCTTATATTTTATTGTCCATTTTTATTTCTATTTTGTACTAATCACTTGTTCTTTTGTCTAACTAGGAAAATTATTTTGAATTAATGTAAGCTGCCATTTCAGACTATGAAATATATGTATATCTACATAATGACTAAATATACAAAAATCTAGAATAAAAACCATGAAACCAATAGAAAGCTGATGAGCATAAATCCTCTTATTCCTCAGAGGCACTCCAGGTTTTTAGTGCCGTCATAATGATTCTACACACCTTCATCTTTTCTGTAATGTCAAGAACAACGTTAACATAATATCTGCAACCCCCCTGACAAGTCGAATAAACTCACCCCCACAAATCTGAATAAGGCTTAAGTCTCTGAGTCCTGACGGCTTGTGAAAAAAATAATGAATTAATAAATGAATAATAAAAAATTGCATTTTCAAGCTGATCATGTGTCTCTGCTCTCATTTTTTAGGTGAAAACCACGATTCTATGAGACGCATCTCGTACAGTGGGACATGTGATGAACCAGGAGTGGGAACTGTTTCAGTTTTTGCAACATCAACATCACAACATGTGCATTTCATTGCAGTTAAAAAATAATTGAGAAACTTTTGATTTGCTTTTTGTATTAATGAATATCCTAACAATGCAAGTTGTCTCATAAAGTGATTCTTTAGATCCATATTGGTGGTTGACTCATAAATCTTGGCACAGAATGGATGTTACGGTCTGTCTAGTTGAGCTTTGGGAAAAAACAGAGACAGAAAAAAAACATCCAGTGTGAAAACAGTTCACAGTTAGCAGTACTGCTGCAGTTCCCATGAAACCACCAGTCCAGTGAACCACTGCTGTTTTCTGAGGAACTGATTTTTTCACCGAAGGGACTCATGAGAATTTCTATGTAACACTGACACTTTCATTTTGCATTCCTCCCCTCACCATTTTTTTGTTTGGATTTAAGCTCCCACTAGTGAAATGTTCCACAGAAGTGTTGTCTGACATATTAAATCCTCCTCCTCCATGACGATGCCGTCCTCTCAGGATGTGGATCTGGGTCAGACAAGCATTTCCTCTAATTTCTAGATCTGGTTTATTCTATGAGGAAGTAACACCTTCCTAAACACTATAATTAACTAAACTAAAGACTTAGTAACTGACATGGCGTTATTGCTGTATATTTAACACTTGTGTGATGCGTTGTGAAGCTGCAGGCTGATATCAGACACCTCTAAGAAGTGTGAATGTGGACGGTTCATGTCAAAACAGACCTCTGGGCTCAGAGGGGTAAGAGGCCTCCTTAAACGCGGTCTGATCATTTCTATCTCTCTTTTTGCATCACTTTGGAATCGTTTTGTGTCTCTTTGGTCACTTTCTGTCTTTGAACTGAGGTCATTATACAACAGTCAGCATTCTCTCGGGCCCCCTGGCCTGTGTCTTATGGTCCTATCGTTCATCAATTACTGCTTTGATATCGCACTTAGAGAGGGGGGTGCTTATATAAGCTCTCTGTGCCAAAACACCCCAGAGAGCCACTTTACTTCACATGCTGAGGTAGCCAGATGTCTCTGTACACACACACACACACACACACACACAAACACACACACACAGACACAAACACACACACAAACACACACACAAACACACACACACACACACACACAAACACACACACACACACACACACACACACACACACACTGACTTCAGCCGTGTCCAGATACCCTCCTCAGATTTCTAATTCACTCTTCATTAATGACACACTGTGGGGGGGTTTCCACACAGAGACAATGTGTCGACCAGCACAGGAGGAGGCACGAGGACTTTTATTACCTCAAAGAAGAAGAAACTCATTAAGAGACCAGAAGGACAATGTCTACACTGGAATAACATTGTATTAACTATTAACTACTAGAGTAAATATAAACACTGACCAAATAATGTTGTATTCTCCTTAAACATTTGTCCTCATCTGTCAAATCTACATGATAAAAATCTAAGCTTTTTATTTCTGATTTAAACAGAATACAAGTACTTGGATCAGTAGCTTGGCTTTTCCAAGATTTCAAAGTACACCTCTTTACACCAAAATTAGAAATTGACTGACTTAGTCTCTGTATGTTGACTGTGTCTCAGGACCTGTGCAGGTTGTACCCCTCGCCCAGTGTCAGTTGGGATTGGCTCCAGCCCCTTGTGACCCTCAAAAGGATAAGTGGTGCAGATGATGGATGGATGGGTTTTATAGTGATCATGCACCTCGGTTTTAGAGGAAAGAGAGCGAGCAGCAACATTTACAAATTTAATTTTAAGATTTTCTCTTGACCTATTAGACACAAAATTAATTCGTTTTTTAAATTGAATGATTTCATGACTTGTCTGTTTTAATTTGCTGCCTTGTGTGAAATATCAGGTCATATCAGAATATTTGTGCCCATGTAAACGTGTCCACTGTTTTTGTCAATGGAGATCATTTTAATAATAGAGGGGGTTGCTGCTCTTATTACAGATGAAGGTTTTTGGTTTCACTGGTTAAAATTCAGAAATATGAATAAATGTCTTTCACACAGAGACACGTGTAATCTCACTGCCCACACACAAAATGCCACAGGGTCCTTTATCAGAATCTGACTGAGAGGAAACAGAAGACATTTTGTCCAGGTTCACATTTGAATCATATGAGTGTGAAGTGATGCTTCGATCTCAGTGTGCTCATTCTGCTCTCCAGACAAAAAACCCCTGAAAAGTAAAACTTAACACACACAAACATATACACACACACACACACTCAGTCACAGCGCTGTGGAAATGTTAATCACTGTGGCTGCAGATACTAGAGCTGCACAAGCAGCTTGAAGAAAACAGAAACAAAAAACCTCAGGCGTTAAAAAGACCAAAACCAAAGACATGAGGAAGAAATAAGAAAACAAAGGTATATTTCTAAGAAAGAGGAAAAGTAAAGATTGTTGAGAAGAAGTAAAGTGTAAATATGTGTCAAGTTAACGGCTCTAGACTCATCCATTCATTCTTCATGAGACTCACCGGCTCTGCTCTTTAAAACTGCTGTGATCCATATTTTTATATTAAAAACAATAAATCAAATGATGATGTGCAGAGCAGGAGTCACCAACAGAGAATAATCCCCTCAATCTGCAGCTCCCCTCGTTTTCACAAACATTTTACTCATCGTTCGTTTACATTTACAGTTCTGGTTCATTCTCGCTGCTCTTAAAGCAGCTGTTTTCAGGAAATAACTCTAAAAGTCCACTTCACACCACTTGCTAAGCATTTTAAGGAGCTACAGAGTCTGATATTTCCATAAGAAGCTGGAGGAGCTAAATGGACAGAATTTAGATCTTGGTTTTCTCCTCTCATTGACCACTTAACATGTTTAACAGAACAATTCACATCCTCATTGTCACACATTCACAGAGCGCTTCCATACACAGCACCTTTTTCTATCATACGCAGTCAGCACAGTTGTCAAGGGTAATTCAGGCTTCAGTTTCTTGCTTTAGGACTTTTTAGACTGCATGGAGGAGCCAGGGATCGAACCATCAACCATCTGGTTAGTGGACAACCCGCTCTACCTCCTGAGCAACAGCCACCCCACTTATATTCACCCAGTGGTCTGTAACATGACCCCAAATGGATAATAATGTTGTCTGATTACTTGGACTGGATGTGTAAGATGCCTGTTAGCTAGTTCACGATATCAACACCTTTTATCGGCTGTATCCAAAAAAAACAGTGAACCCACAAAGTCACTGTTATCATGTCGGGGGCGGAGTTTGTGTTGAGCGGTACCTGAAGCAGACGGTGTGCCAGTCAGTGTTGAGGGCCTGGAGGTACTGGTCATCGTAGATCCTCTGTTTGCATCCCGCACAGACGGGCAAACGTCCTCCTGCTGCTGCAACAACAACAACACGTCCGTGATCACACTGCATGTACACAATGACTCCTGTTTCATAAAGTGACTGGAGCAGCACGAGGAAAAGATATCAACACAAAAACCACAGTGTTCGACAATTCATCATTACCGACAAACCAACACGACACACGAGTATGAGAAGCCAGGGTTGTGCTAAAGATCCTAGAATATAGATCTGTTTTTCAACTGATAAAGTTTCTCCTCTGAATTGTGCACAGTCTCCTCCCGTCTTCTAATGAGGAAAATGTTAATTATGATAAGAGTTCCAGGAAAAAAGTAATCAGGGACAGTTTATTCAGAAAAGCTTCACAAAGAGAGAGCAGCAGCAGAGTGTTGTCGAAGCAGCCGCAGCACATAGCAAACATCATCAGACTGTCTGAAAACCTGGACCCAACCTGGACCAAAACCAGCGATGAAAAGAAACCCAACATCTGTAGCAACAATGAAACAACACCTCTGCCTCCTGCATCTGAACATCTGGATACTGGGGCCAGCACATTGATAACACACAGTGATCGACGGTTTTAATTGTCAGCGTTTAGGTCTGAAAAGTGTGTTGGCAGAGGTTTTGTGTGATCAGCTCAGTCCTGTGATCGCTGAGTGCTGCGGCCCTGCTCGTGTTTTATTGATCAGATCAATACCGAGGGAGCTCTAGTTTGTTCCTGTGCCTGTTCTCTTCCTCTCCTTTCACCCTCACCTCTTTATCCATGAGTGTGTTTCACATAATCTCCCTGACGACGGCGTCCACTTCACCTCTGCTGTCAGCACATTCCTCAGGAAAGTCAAACAAACAAACCTGCGTTTTCACACACACACACAAACGCACACAGTTTGAGTAGTGCAGGCGTAGGAACATGTTCCTCACCCGTATCTCACACAAACATTCTTCTTCCACATGAGCTGAACTCACTGTGACGCAACGTGACTCGTCACATAACAGATGCATTGTTGAGTTCAGTGAACCTGACTGACAGCTGCAGTCCCAGTATCTCATCAGAACTGAAACAAAGTATTCATCAGAGTATAGGACAGGATCAATAATGACGCAATATGACTTTCATCAGTAGAAATATTACAGAAATCCAACATATATTAACATAATGATGTATTCATTGTGAAGCACAGTGAGGAGGTGAAACACATGATCTGTAAAATGTTTTGCTGTTTATCAAAGTGTTTTTCTCTGCTCATAAAGAAGAGTTTAACAACCTTCACTCACAGAAACAATCAGAAGCATCACGACTTTTATCAGGACATAATCTTTATCCACATAATTCAGCCCTAATGAGACCAAAGCCTCTTCTAGAGCCAGGAATACAAATCCCACCGTGAAATAGCAATAAGAGTTCAGTGTGAAGGAGCGACAACAGTGTTACAATGAAAATTAAAGGAAATAATTGTTGTGTTTATTTATTTGTGTTGTTTTTCAGTTATGACAAACTAGATAATAAAAGATGTTCTATGTCATTTATTCTCTGTATTTGTTTTTCAAAAGATTTCACCTGAGCCAAACAACAATGATAGCAATCATCACTTCTACACAGGGTTAGTATCATAGAGCTGTTATACACATTGATGTTTCAACATGCACTCATATCAGACTGTTTCTCTGTATCGGCCGGTGCACAGTCCGGGTATCAGAGGCAGTATCTGGAAAAACGTTATCGAAACAGCTCTAGTTCAGACGCTCAGAGGGAAATCATTGTTCTATGTCTGCGGATCTGAAACTTTTCTTTAGAAGCTGCAGACAGTTCAAGCCCCCGACCTGTAATGGTGAAGGTAATTTATAAAAAGCATCCAAACTGAGTTATAGTGTTAACACGACAGCGTCATTTAACTGTTTTCTTTTCTTACTTAATTCATATTAATGTAACTGTGTAATGTATTTTTGGGGTTATTCATTATTTCCCTGGTCATCCATGTCCCCCATGTAGCTCTATGTCCTCAGAGGGGGACCCACCCCTCAGTTTGAGACCCACTGCTCTATAGTAATATGGGCTTTTTAATAAAAATGTAATATTTGGTTGTTTTTTAATGTTTAAACCAATTGATGTGCAGCTCCACACCAGGAAAACGTCCCAACAACATTTTATCAGTGAGACTCTAACTTTAAGTAGCTCGTCATTAGGTGGTGTCATGTTTACATGACACACCCACACAGTCTCATGTATGTTACTAATCGAACGACCTGTTCATCAGTAGAGTTCATGTGAGTGTAGGTGAGCAGTGATCCTGTGTGGAGGTGAACACACCGACATGATGGTGCATCCTGTCAGAGAGAAAACATGGCTTCAGCTGCAGAGCAATGTGAGTCTGACGCTCCCTGCACACACACACACACACACACACACACACACACACACACACACACACA